CAGGTGCACAGACAAGACAGATAAATAACAATCTAGAGAAACAGTTCATTATATACTGGAAATAGAAATTCTAAATATTCAATAAATAAGAAACACTTTCAGATGTCAGATTAAACTAGAAAAATACCTCACCAAACTAAAACACATTGAACTAGCTACGTGTTAACAGATTTCAAATAGGCATTGAAACAGGTAGACAAAAATAATACGAATGTAATCCTCTATTACTAGTATCTCAAATTTAATACCCATGCGAATTTATTAGAGTAAGTAAATTCGACCATACTTGAGCGTCGGTTCGAATCAAGCACGCACTACATATTTACGTTGCCATGCGTTTTGTCCTATTTACATGCTTTACTTCCTATGCATTTACGGTACTATGATTTTACAGGAATTGTTAAAATTCAGTGCAGTGCAGTGGGAGAGGGCAGTCTGTAGTTGTAACAGTAAGCAAGAAGATATAGCAATATTTGGTTGGTGAAATACGCGTATTATCGCAAGTACCTTACGAAAATTATCTATGTACATTTTGATCGATTTCTTTGATTGAGATCAATTTCTCCGAGGTTTTATTTGACCAAGGTTTATTTCATTAGCAGAGATAGATTTCACTGAATATTAAACGCTAAACAATTGAAACTAAATATAATATGAGTGATAGATCTTGTATCAACAGTTAATTACTTTCAACAGTAATTGTAATGTAGTAAAGTTCTATATATTTGTCAGCAAGCAAACTTCTATGCGTATTATCCATACGATTATTATATGAGAAATATATGAATTGTAATAACAATAATAACGATAATATATATATATTTTTTGTTTTTCAGGTGACAGTAGCTCAGAACTTAACCATGGGGGAGGATATTTCATGGGTCTCACAGTAGCGATATTTCACCACATGTTACGTCATCGTGGTTGACCAGTATAATGACGTCACCCACTTCCCTCATTACTGTGTCGCATCATGGAACCAGTATTGAACAATGGAACATGACGACTTTACCTGCGTCTGTACTGACAACAAGTGGCACAGATGCGACGATGGAAAAAGATATAACCGCAATGTTACTGCGGGCACTTATACTTGCCATTATATCACTACTTTCACTAATTGGAAACGCAGTAGTTATCATAATCATATTACGTCATTATCAGCTGAGAACAGTGACCAATGCTTTCATCGCATCACTATCTGCATCTGACCTTTTACGAACCATCTTGTGCGTCCCGTTCACGTTCGCCACACTGTTTACTAACACCTGGATATTCAGCAACGATCTATGCGTACTAAACGGATTTCTTAACAGCCTGTTTGGTATAGCTTCCACACTCACGTTGACGCTCATATCGATTGATCGATTTTACGCAATAGTAAAGTTACCGCGAGAAAAAGTGACCCGAACTCGTGCCATACAAATGATGGTGTACATCTGGGTACAAGCTTTTATCTTCTCTTTTCCGTGGTATATTGTTGACCCCCAACCACGTTATTACAAAGATGATTTTTTACATTGCATGTATATTTTCCACTCAACCTCGTCATATTTACCTGAAGCATACAGTATATTTGTTATTGTTGTCTGTTATTTAATACCCTTTACTATAATGTGCTACTGTTATTATAATATTTGGAAAACGCTAAGACTTAGCGACACGAGGATACGTCCTGCTACGGCCCAAGCTAGCATGCTTAGATTTTACGGAGAGATGCGTACAGCTACCACTGTCCTCATCATGATATTCCTCTTTCTGTGCTGTTGGGGTCCCTATTGTGTTATGGCCATTGTTGTGGCAGGGAGGAACATCAAGTTTAATTCAACCATGGATACCATCGCAATGTACCTCGCGTGGTCCAATTCCGCGATGAATCCTGTCATATACGCCATTCGCAATCCCCATGTGTCAGCGCTGATTCGCCGCAACCGTGAAAGTGGTTATGTGACGGGCGCCAACAATGGCGTTGTGATCGTTGTAAGTCCAGCAATTAAACGAAAAATCACTTCAATTTCGACCGATAGTTATAACCAAGACAACACGCCAAACTCACCAAGGCTTGATCCAACAGCGTGGGCTAGAAAAGCCCCAGCTTTGATGTTCTGCCATCACAACTATCAGCCAGAGGACAGTACATCCGTTCACACCACTATGACGCAAACGACCAGTTTGTGACCGTAGTTTAGGAGGTGGAGGATTCATAAATAAAATAAATCACATTTAATAATAGTCTAGGAGACAATCTCACAAAAGGACTAGAATATTAAATAGGCTGCACCTGAACGACAACAAAATTCTGTGTTATTATTCCTGGATCATGAATTTTAGCCTCGATGTGGTTATTTGTAGGTGTGTATTTTGCAGTTCAATCTGACAGTGATATCAGACATGTTGTAAATACTAAAACTCAATTCTATCATTTGTCATATAAAAAATAATACGCGGAAGCGCAGACATGAAGCAAATATAAATTACTCTAAATGAAATGTCGGTACAATTTCAGAATATGCAAATTAAACATATGCAAATTATGAAGTATTGTGGCATTGAAGAGCATTACATACGTTTTAATCTGTGCTTTTACTCTAACTTGAAAATTCTGCATTTACAAGTCGATTTTGAAATCATTTTCTATAATTTAAAATGACGTCATTATTATATTGTGTTGTACAATATTAAGATTCATCTACAAATGACCTCATCAGGGCTAAAATTCATAAACTATATAATACCTTTTCAGAAAAAAATACACACAATTGGTGTTGGTGAGGTGATGTCAATTTTGGCCATTTTCTTTAAAGATTGGTTCATAGACTAAAACACTCCTTTGAGTATTAGCTGCAGGGGTCGATTGACACTCCGCAGCGTCACGTGTTCAACACCTTAAAGGTCACGTGGATCAAACTCTGAGTTAGGAATCCCCGGATCGTTTTATTTGAAAGTACTTTCAGAAATGAACTACAACCCATTACCCAGCATTCCATCTACTCACATTTATTAAAGCTATCTTTTTGACACAAATTGTTTTAAACCAATCAATAATTTATGTGCCCCACTGATAATAATTGTTAACAAGAATAATTGAACGCTTAAAGGAGAAACTGTAAAAGGAATCCTTACCACAGATGACGTCATCACGTAACGACAACCGACCGATCACATACAAATTAATTATATATATTTCCAGTGTAAATACCGTGAATAGACCATATTATTGTCGGTATCACGATGAGCTGTATTTTAATAAAGAATGGGATAGAAACATCCTGACATCAACATCACGATAAGTTCGCAAAATATAATAAAACATATGCTATTTAGTGATGAATATGTCGATATTAATGCCATTTATTTTCATACGTGAGTCGTTACATTATGTCGTGGCAATATAACTGAGACGTATTGTTGATTTTCGATCAACAGTTTGGATATTATAAGAAATTGTCAGTTTCGGTGATACCATAGAATTGTACCAAAATAACACCGAGAACCACCATATAATTTGTGGCATACCACACAGTCATGTATAAATCGGCAAATTGCAAAACATGCCCTTTTCGTGCTTGTTACCATATCAACCACGAGCGGCTGATTCAGTGGAAAGCTTTCAATACATTTGCCTGATTGCTGTATTTTATGTAAAATATGATAGCACGTCAAAAGCAATGTAAATTAAAGCGTGGTTACTAATTTATTAGTACCAGTTCAAATAGCCTCCCCCGCTGGAATATTGAATTTGCATCATAAACAGGTTGCACAAAACAAAAACATTTTCACTGCAGCCCATGGTTACAGCGAGTAATCTACTCGTGGAAATAACCACGCATAGAACCATTCGGTTATTCGATATGGGGTCTGCGTGCATGCGTGAAGTGCAATGAACAGTATGACACGGAGCAATGTGCTCTTTAAATATAACTTAACATTTTACAAGATTTTACAAGACTGTATTATTTATATATTGTGTACATTTTTAATCGACAGATATTGTATTTTCATATCACAATAAATGTTTCTTAATAACGTGTACGAGGTGTTAGAATACGGTGAAAACATTACATTTATTACTCTGTTTGCTGGCTGTTATCAATGGACAACAAAGTCGTCTTGAACGCCAAAGTCAGTACAGGAGGAGTTCCATGTTTTTGGCTCATGGGGAAACTGTTCCTATAATTGCTACAATCAAATTGTCTGATGTAACGAGTTTTCAATGATTACACCTATTTATAGAGATAAAGACAGTGTTTCAAGTTTATATTTATATTTGTTAAAATTTTAATATGTAAGTTCATGTTTCCATATTTCATGTACAAGTTACAATTTGAGTTTAATATATAAATAAATAAATGTACAATTGAAATGACTTTCTTCAGGATGTGATTTTTTAAAATACCAATATTTATTAATTTGTAAATCTACGAGGGGCGTTCAATAAGTAATGCCCCTGACCCATTTCCCATAGCAGGAGAAATTTGGCACAGTCATTAGTCGTTTTTCTACATAGGAACCACCCAGAGTTATGCATTTCTCCCATCGTTTGATGCAGCTCTGGACACCATTTTTGTAGAACACCCCAGGTTGGTTCTCCAACCAAGTCGTAACTTCAGAAACCAAGGCTGCATCATCTGGGAAACGCTTTCCTTTCAAAATCAATTTCATGGCTGGGAAGAGATGAAAGTCAGAGGGTGCAAGGTCAGGAGGGTAAGGGGTACGGGGGAGGATTTCATAGCCACACGCCCGTGCTTCTGATCTTGTGACAAGCGAGTTGTGGACCGGAGCGTTGTCCTGCAGAAGGAGGATACCTTTGCTGATCTTGTCCCGCCTCTTGATTTTGATAGCTTCTCTTAATTTCATTTTAAGGTGAAGCGTAATAGGCTCCTGTAATTATGGTACCCTTTGCTAGGAAATATGTCATCATTACTCCGTCCTGGTCCCAGAAGACTGTGAGCATGACCTTGCCAGCGGAAGGCTGCACCCTTGCCTTCTTTGAAGGTGGTGAGTCCACGTGCTGCCACTGCATTGACTGGGCTTTGGTCTCTGGATCATAGTGATGGACCCAAGTGTCGCATACGACTTGTTTACCACTTGACTGTGTGACCGAGAATGTTCTAGAACAGTTCTGTGTCTGGGTGGAATTTTTAGAAGTTGGTTGAATAGGTAATAGGACACTGTAGAAGGCAATAGAAGGTAATGGAACATTCTAGAAATTTGTAGTAAGTTCCAGACAGTGTGGGTATATATAGGGGAGTTGTTCAGCACTGAGATCAGATCGGAGATCTCGTTGAATTGTATTGGAGTTTAAGTATCTAGTTATTGGAGTAGTGGAGTTTTACCGCGTTATTGTACTTGATGTTTGCAGAGTATAATAATACCAGTACCAGTTGAAACCTCATCTGTTGGCTCCGTGTTCGTATTTTATCATCGCCGCCAGGGAAGTCTTCTGTTACTGTTGCCATTTTGGTATTTGAACCATCACACCTGTACTATACCAATTACGGTAATATTACGTTGCGTGTGACACCAAGTTTCATCCTGTGTAATCAGTCTTTTGAAAAACCTTGACTCATCTTCTTGACACATCTCCAAATTCATCCTCGAGCACTTGACGCGTTCTTGCTTTTGGAAAGGTGTGAGCAACCTGGGAATCCATCTGGCAGACACCTTATGCATATGCAAATGGTCATGAATGATAGTTTCCACAGACCCTGTACTAATATTGACCTCTTGGGCTATTTGGCGAACAGCAATGAGTCAATCTTCCAAAATGGCTGCCTCAACTTGAGGGACGATCAGGTCTGAAAGCTGTTTCCACAGACTTCCTGCCAAGTTTGAATGAACGATGTCAGCGTTTTACAAGGTCATATGATGGGGCATCATCACCAGTCTTTCATTTCATCAAAAGTCTCCTTTGGTGTGCGTCATTTCAAATACAAAAACCGGATCACTGCGCGACCCTCAACTGACCCCATTTCACACCTGACTCAGTTCAAAGACTTATAAATCAGAAACCACAATTATTTCAGAGCTGTTTTTTGCAACATAACCCATAGAGATGTAAATCATTACACATGCAAAATTTTATCTAGATCAGACAACTGGAAGTGGGTCAGGGGCATTACTTATTGAATGCCCCTCGTACATATAACTGGCAAACATTACAAGTATAATACCATCTATAATTGTAAAACTCACATAATATGCGTCTCAACCTCTCATTTCTATTCCTGTGCATAATTAGCAAACATCACGTTTCTATTCCTATGTATAATTGGCAAACATCACGTTTCTATTCCTATGTATAATTGGCAAACATCACGTTTCTATTCCTATGTATAATTGGTAAACCTCACATTTCTATTCCTATGTATAATTGGTAAACATCACATTTCTATTCCTATGTATAATTGGTAAACCTCACATTTCTATTCCTATGTATAATTGGTAAACCTCACATTTCTATTCCTATGTATAATTGGTAAACCTCACATTTCTATTCCTATGTATAATTGGTAAATCTCACATTTTTATTCCTATGTATAACTGGTAAACCTCACATTTCTATTCCTGTGTATAATTGGTAAACCTCACATTTTTATTCCTGTGTATAATTGTTAAACCTCACATTTCTATTCCTGTGTATAATTGTTAAACCTCACATTTCTATTCCTGTGTATAATTGGTAAACCTCACATTTGTATACCATATGTATAATTGTTAAACCTCACATTTTTATTCCTATGTATAATTGTTTGATGAAC